ATATATATATATATATATATATATATATACATATGTATATCTATTTCTATTTTTTTTCCCTTTGCATCACACGTAAATCGATATCACGTTCGTTCTACCATATAGTCAAGCATGAGTTAATTGCTACAAAAAATATAGATAATATTACGTAATAAATATTTATATTTTGAGTTGTTCTGCTTTTAAATATATTCGTCCATCTTGTCCAAATCCGATGGTTTTTCTTCTCACCTAGTTGCTATGTTATCTATGTATATACATATATATATCTGTTTATCGTAATATTCATTAGATGAAAATACCCTCCTACACTTGCTACCACTTGCTACCATTTGCTACCATTTGCTACGGTATACACAAAAAGCTTTATATAAAGATGCAAAATAATAATCCCATCCCCATTGAAGTTCGAGTTGAAATATACAAATTAAAATGCAAAAAACAAAAAATTAAAATAAAGAAAATAAAATAAAATAAAAAAAATTAAGTCTCTCTACTAATGACATCGGCTTGACAAAATGGCATCGCAAAAAAGGGAAGCCAGTGGGTATAGTCGTCTCGTATTCTCGTCAGCTATTCTGAAACATTATTTCCAGGAGAATAAAATGAATTTACGGTCGGAATGATCCCGACTTTCGTTTTTAAATCTAACAAGAACGAGATCGCAGCAATTTCTTCTCTTATATTTAAACATCGCGTCCTGATTTTCTCGCTGGCTTCGAGTAACTCCTTCAGCCCTCTATATCTCTCTTTCTCTTTCTCTCTCTCTCTCTCTCTCTCTCTCTCTCTTTCGTGTTTCTTTCTGCACTCGAGTTTTTCAGAAGCACTCTCTTTCATCGGTAGTGTGAGCAAGGGGAGGGTCCTTATTGTGGTCTCGCATTATTTTGCCGTCACGAAAAGACAATTCCTCGTTTTCAAACCGCGTCACAATCGGCGTTAGCGGCTTCGCGTCTCTGCCTGGAGAAGGAGGAAGAAGACAGAGAGAAAGAGAGAGAGAAAGAAAGAGTAAAGGAAGAACGAATGAGAGAAAGAGCTGCAAAAAGGAGACTCTTTCATACGAATTTCGCAAATGAGAATTCACTCGAATGCGCAAGTAGTTAGAAAGAAAGCACGAGAGAGAAGGAGAGAAAGAGAGAGAGAAAACTAGAAAGGAGGTGGTTGTAAGTAATAACCATATACGATGTCTGTGCTTTTCAAAAAAAAGCTTCGTGTCCTTTAATGCGCGAAGAAACATGACTAGTGACGTATATACATACATATATATCATATATGCAACCATACGTGTACTTATATACATATACGTACGTGTACCATACATATAAATATAACTTGTGTAAACTTGTGTATAGATGTTGTACACAGAATGAAAAGCTCATAAAAATACTAAATGGAGAAATGTGGTTTAGAGAGAAGAAGATGGAGCAGAAAGGGGTTCATATAAAGAAAAAGAAAGAGAAAGAGAGGGAGAGAGAGAGAAAGAGAGAGGAAAACTCTCGCGTCGCATTACAAGCAGCAAACATACGTAATTTTAATTAAAGCTCCATAACGAGAAAGCGTCGCTTGCTGTCAAGCCACCGACGTTATATTATGTAGGTAGTTATTCAAGTCATATACACAAATTACGTAAATCCTCATCATCGCACCCTCCTTCGCTGCTTTCTGCTCGCTCTACTTGTAGGGCGTGCACTCGCGCACGCACCTTCTTTCAATCCTTTTCTCAAACTTCCTTTTCTTCTTCTATCTCTGTATTCTTCTTTATATTATCCTTGTTCATCGCCCTATTTTTCCTCTCTATAGTTTATTATTTATAATTTTTGCTCTCATAAAAAAGTGATATCATAGATATAAGTGATATATGAAGTGATAAGACTTGACTTTAAAAAAAAATAATTTTTTACAATTTTCTAAATACCGTTGAATATATTCCTGTAATGTAAAGTATAACCTATTTGTTTAAATTGTTTTTTTTTTGTTTTTTATTATTAAAAAACGTATGTATATATGTATATACATATATTTTATATATATATATATATATATATATATATATATATATATATATATTTTTTTTTTTTTTTTTTTTTTTTTTCTTAGAATGTTACGACCGTGTAGATTTTATGCTATCATATACCTAATATCCGTGCATTTAACTTTAAATTGCAGCTATATTCGTTATTCGTCAACTAATTATACCATTCTTGAGAAAAACTATCAGACGGATAGATATTGTTTAGTTGCCTTCCCGCGTTCGCTGAATCATTCTTATCGGTCTTACATTTGAAAAGTTTTTTCCACGAACGATATTGATAAAAACGTATGTATATATTCGTAATTAAGTACTTATAATCAAATAACATACCAATTGAAATTTACATTTGTTTTTCAAACCTATCCTTTCATCACAATGTAGATTATTTCTCACAATGTAGATTATTTCTCACAATGTAGATTATTAAGCAAAAAATATTATATATTGATTAATTTGAAATTATATAAATTTTTAATTACAAATCAAACGATAGACATTTACATACACAGATGAAAAAAAATAAAACTAAATCATTAGCTAGAACCGAGCTATCGTTCTGTTATAGTTTTACGACGTACGTACAGGAAACGTAAGGGGGAAACGAAGAATCTACGAACCAAAAGAAACATCGAACAACAGTTAAGATTTCTTCGATTCTTAAACAATAAATATTTTCTGTTACATTCTTCTTATATTTTATGTTCTCTTATTCGATTCGAAGAGGATCATCATCTTTACATTATAACGGGCGTTAACTTCCGCTTCTCTTAATTTACTTCTTCTTTTCTCCTATTCTATTTTACTCTCTTCCTTTAAAAGGATATATATGATACTGTCTATGAAAACCAGTCGGAAAATCTGCAACGATTTTGCTAACCCAACGATAGTCATAAACATTAAAAATTATTATCGCGTAAATAAGTGCTTCAAAAAGCGTATACGATGTTCCATGACCTAAGACTAGAAAAGGCCGAATCTCAGTTTGTATAAACGTTTATTTAACCCTTTGAATACTGAATCCTCTTGATCGAAATGGTTTGTAAGAAAGGAATAATTTATTTCTAACGTGAGTTCCGTTAATTGATTATACTAAATGCAGATAATTATAAATTATAACCGTTATTATCACAAATTATTATTATATAATACAAAAAAGTAGTTTTCAAGTATAATTTTAGTGTAACAAAACTCGAAACAATGATCGATACTGTATTATTTGAATTCGTATCAAAAAACAATTATATGCATCCACATTCCCATGCTAGTAACTTTTATTAAACGCATATGTATGTGTATGCGTGTGCTCATAGTACTAGAACGGTTAATACGAATCAACACCGTCCGATAGAAAAAAGTATAAATAATAGAACCGATCGCAGGGAAAAACATAAAAATATGACGGCTCTATTGTAAACGCGTTAAAAGATTATTATGCATATAAATATAATTAAAAAAATATTTGTATATTTAAATAATATCTAGAGAGATAATTTTAGATCGAACTATGTTTGTGAACGGTTGAAGCATTAATACTTCGGTATTTGTTACGAGCATATATGTATCAGCATCTATTAATATCAGTAACAGGGATCAACGAATC